GTGACTGGAGCAGTTCACAGTTCACAATGTTGTGACTGGAGCAGTTCACAGTTCACAATGTTGTGACTGGAGCAGTTCACAATGTTGTGACTGGAGCAGTTCACAGTTCACAATGTTGTGACTGGAGCAGATTCACAATGTTGTGACTGGAGCAGTTCACAGTTCACAATGTTGTGACTGGAGCAGTTCACAATGTTGTGACTGGAGCAGTTCACAGTTCACAATGTTGTGACTGGTAGCAGTTCACAATGTTGTGACTGGAGCAGTTCACAGTTCACAATGTTGTGACTGGAGCAGTTCACAATGTTTGTGACTGGAGCAGTTCACAGTGTTGTGACTGGAGCAGTTCACAATGCTGTGACTGGAGCAGTTCACAATGCTGTGACTGCAGCAGTTCACAATGCTGTGACTGGAGCAGTTCACAGTTCACAATGTTGTGACTGGAGCAGTTCACAATGTTGTGAGTGGAGCAGTTCACAATGCTGTGACTGGAGCAGTTCACAATGTTGTGACTGGAGCAGTTCACAATGCTGTGACTGGAGCAGTTCACAATGCTGTGACTGGAGCAGTTCACAGTTCACAATGCTGTGACTGGAGCAGTTCACAATGCTGTGACTGGAGCAGTTCACAATGTTGTGACTGGAGCAGTTCACAATGCTGTGACTGGAGCAGTTCACAATGTTGTGACTGGAGCAGTTCACAGTTCACAATGCTGTGACTGGAGCAGTTCACAATGCTGTGACTGGAGCAGTTCACAATGCTGTGACTGGAAGCAGTTCACAATGTTGTGACTGGAGCAGTTCACAATGCTGTGACTGGAGCAGTTCACAATGCTGTGACTGGAGCAGTTCACAGTTCACAATGTTGTGACTGGAGCAGTTCACAATGCTGTGACTGGAGCAGTTCACAATGCTGTGACTGGAGCAGTTCACAATGCTGTGACTGGAGCAGTTCACAATGTTGTGACTGGAGCAGTTCACAGTTCACAATGCTGTGACTGGAGCATTTCACAATGCTGTGGACTGGAGCAGTTCACAATGCTGTGACTGGAGCAGTTCACAATGTTGTGACTGGAGCAGTTCACAGTTCACAATGCTGTGACTGGAGCAGTTCACAATGCTGTGACTGGAGCAGTTCACAATGTTGTGACTGGAGCAGTTCACAATGTTGTGACTGGAGCAGTTCACAGTTCACAATGCTGTGACTGGAGCAGTTCACAATGCTGTGACTGGAGCAGTTCACAATGCTGTGACTGGAGCAGTTCACAATGCTGTGACTGGAGCAGTTCACAATGCTGTGACTGGAGCAGTTCACAATGCTGTGATTGGAGCAGTTCACAATGCTGTGATTGGAGCAGTTCACAATGCTGTGACTGGAACAATTCACAATGCTGTGACTGGAGCAGTTCACAATGCTGTGACTGGAGCAGTTCACAATGCTGTGACTGGAACATTTCACAATGCTTTGACTGGAACAGTTCACAATGCTGTGACTGGAACAGTTCACAATACTGTGACTGGAACAGTTCTCAATGCTGTGACTGGAACATTTCACAATGCTGTGACTGGAACATTTTACAATGCTGTGACTGGAGCAGTTCACAATGCTGTGACTGAAACAGTTCACAATGATGTGACTGGAACAGTTCACAATGCTGTGACTGGAACAGTTCACAATGATGTGACTGGAACAGTTCACAATGCCGTGACCGGAACAGTTCACAATGCCGTGACCGGAACAGTTCACAATGATGTGACTGGAACAGTTCACAATGATGTGACCGGAACAGTTCACAATGATGTGACCGGAACAGTTCACAATGATGTGACTGGAACAGTTCACAATGATATGACTGGAACAGTTCACAATGCTGTGATTGGAGCATTTCACAGTGCTGTGACTGGAACATTTCACAATCCTATGACTGGAACAATTCAGTCAATGAATGGAACACTTTCGTCACAGTACCGTGGCTGGAACAGTTCAGTCACAGCATTACCAACTAGAACAATCCCGTCACAGCATTGTGACCGTAACAGCTGAATACCTTAACATCTCCACTGAGAACTGAATTGTGTGTAGGTTTAAATTTGTGAAACAGTGAAGACTTAATCCTCCTTGAAGGCAGTGAACCAGTGGCGTCCCAGACTGCAGACGCCAGTGTCATCACTCGATCCATCAGAGTTTTACGTCAAAACAATGCGTGCAAAACACGTTCTTAACTCGAAGTGACCTAGCTAGAGTCGTTCCCTTGAACGAATCTACCTCTTCTTCTTACTCATTTCTGTAACATTGCAAGATTCTAAACATGTGTTGATTGTAACATGAAAGGCCTGGACCAATCATTCAACACCCTACGTGGTTGTTTTGCATACATACACACACACAGACACACACACACAGACACACACACACACACACACACACACACACACACACACACACACACACACACACACACACACACACACACACATATATATATATATATATATATATATATATATATATATATATATATATATATATATATATGCAGGAAAGGTAGGGGGTGTGTGGACCAGGTGTTTACAGTGAAACATATAAGTGAACAGTATTTAGATAAGGCTAAAGAGGTCTTTGTGGCATTTATGGATTTGGAAAAGGCGTATGACAGGGTGGATAGGGGGGCAATGTGGCAGATGTTGCAAGTGTATGGTGTAGGAGGTAGGTTACTGAAAGCAGTGAAGAGTTTTTACGAGGATAGTGAGGCTCAAGTTAGAGTATGTAGGAAAGAGGGAAATTTTTTCCCAGTAAAAGTAGGCCTTAGACAAGGATGTGTGATGTCACCATGGTTGTTTAATATATTTATAGATGGGGTTGTAAGAGAAGTAAATGCGAGGGTCTTGGCAAGAGGCGTGGAGTTAAAAGATAAAGAATCACACACAAAGTGGGAGTTTGTCACAGCTGCTCTTTTGCTGATGACACTGTGCTCTTGGGAGATTCTGAAGAGAAGTTGCAGAGATTGGTGGATGAATTTGGTAGGGTGTGCAAAAGAAGAAAATTAAAGGTGAATACAGGAAAGAGTAAGGTTATGAGGATAACAAAAAGATTAGGTGATGAAAGATTGAATATCAGATTGGAGGGAGAGAGTATGGAGGAGGTGAACGTATTCAGATATTTGGGAGTGGACGTGTCAGCGGATGGGTCTATGAAAGATGAGGTGAATCATAGAATTGATGAGGGAAAAAGAGTGAGTGGTGCACTTAGGAGTCTGTGGAGACAAAGAACTTTGTCCTTGGAGGCAAAGAGGGGAATGTATGAGAGTATAGTTTTACCAACGCTCTTATATGGGTGTGAAGCGTGGGTGATGAATGTTGCAGCGAGGAGAAGGCTGGAGGCAGTGGAGATGTCATGTCTGAGGGCAATGTGTGGTGTGAATATAATGCAGAGAATTCGTAGTTTGGAAGTTAGGAGGAGGTGCGGGATTACCAAAACTGTTGTCCAGAGGGCTGAGGAAGGGTTGTTGAGGTGGTTCGGACATGTAGAGAGAATGGAGCGAAACAGAATGACTTCAAGAGTGTATCAGTCTGTAGTGGAAGGAAGGCGGGGTAGGGGTCGGCCTAGGAAAGGTTGGAGGGAGGGGGTAAAGGAGGTTTTGTGTGCGAGGGGCTTGGACTTCCAGCAGGCATGCATGAGCGTGTTTGATAGGAGTGAATGGAGACAAATGGTTTTTAATACTTGACGTGCTGTTGGAGTGTGAGCAAAGTAACATTTATGAAGGGATTCAGGGAAACCGGCAGGCCGGACTTGAGTCCTGGAGATGGGAAGTACAGTGCCTGCACTCTGAAGGAGGGGTGTTAATGTTGCAGTTTAAAAACTGTAGTGTAAAGCACCCTTCTGGCAAGACAGTGATGGAGTGAATGATGGTGAAAGTTTTTTTTTTCGGGCCACCCTGCCTTGGTGGGAATCGGCCAGTGTGATAATAAAAAAAATAAAAAATATATATGCAAACAATCGCAGACGGGCGATCTCAATTATGTAGAACAAGCCACGGGGGGTGGAAATCTTTAGCTCAAGTACTTCCACACACACACATACACACACACACACAAGAATTCACAGAAAAAGTGAAATCGTGTGGAAGATCTCCAGCAAGTGAGGCAGCAGCTACGGTTATACTTCCCCAGGGATCCGTCTCACACCTGGATACGCAATCCATTTGAAATTTCTCCCTCTGCCCCACACCTGTCACATCAGAAACAAGAGAAACTAATACGTATCGTATGATTGGCTACTGCAAATACAATTCAAACAGTAGCCACGTGCGGATTTGTGAGCCTTGAGGGTTATCAACGGCATTTGCCATAACATAACTATGCGAAGTTGATTTTTCTGCATTCACAACAGTGAAGACAGTCACAACAGTGAAGACAGTCACAACAGTGAAGACAGTCACAACAGTGAAGACAGTCACAACAGTGAAGACAGTCACAACAGTGAAGACAGTCACAACAGTGAAGACAGTCACAACAGTGAAGACAGTCACAACAGTGAAGACAGTCACAACAGTGAAGACAGTGTCACAACTTTTTAATGGACAACAAATTATATATCTGTCGAATGGTTTGTAATGGACATTACATTACATTATGGTGTCCCGTAGCTCGATCGCTAGCGCACTCAACTCACGCACTTGGGTTTGGAGTTCGAATCTCCGGTACGGCTGGAAAACATTAGGGACGTGTTTCCATAAGACACCAGTTGTCCCTGTTCACCCATCAGTAAAATGGGTACCTGAGTGTTAGTCGACTGGTGTGGGTCGCATCCTGGTACAAAACTGACCTAATTTGCCCGAAATGCTCTGCATAACAAGCGGCTTTCTATATAGTAGTATGTCATTGATGTCAGTTAGACCTGTATACCATGTACATGTTCTTGTAGTAATAGATATTATTTTATTATTAATCATTTGTAGAATATCCTGAAGGAGTCGAGGGAGGGATAAGGAGGAGACTTACCTGGATCCTAGCTTCGTTAAGCTTGGTCTTCCTGGCCAGCTCTTCCCTGCAGTAGATATCTGGGTAGTGACTCTTGGAGAATGCTGCCTCCAACTCCGCCAGCTGTTCCTGTGGGAGAGAGCCAGGTCACTTGGGGGCAGGCCAGGTCACTTTGGGGAAGGCCAGGTCACCTAACTGCAGTTTCACCACAGGTCATATTAATGAGTGATAAAGGTCACCTGGATTGTGAAAGAAGAAGACATAAATGGTGAGAGAAAGAAGACATAAATGTTGAAAGAAGACATGAATGGTGAGAGAAAGAAGACATGAATAGTGAAAGAAAGACGACAGGAATAGTGTGAAAGAAACAAGACATGAATGATGGAGAGAGTACTCACTTAGTTGTACTCACCTAGATGTGGTTGTAGGGGTCGATTCACAGCTCCTGACCCCGCCTCTTCACTAGTCGCTACTAGGTCACTCTCCCTGCTCCATGAGCTTTATCATACCTCTTCTTAAAGCTATGTATGGATCCTGCCTCCACTACATCACTTCCCAGACTATTCCACTTCCTGGCAACTCTGTGACTGAAGAAATACTTTCTAACATCCCTGTGATTCATCTGTGTCTTCAACTTCCAATTGTGACCCCTTGTTGTTGTGTCCCATCTCTGGAACATCCTGTTTCTCTCCACTTTGTCAGTTCCTCTCAGTATTTTATATGGCGTTATCATATCCCTCCCTATCTCTCCTGTCATCCAGTGTCGTCAGGTCGATTTCCCTTAGCCTCTCCTCGTAGGACATGCCCCTTAGCTCCGGGACTAATCTTGTTACAAATCTTTGCACTTTCTCTAATTTCCTTACATGCTTGGCTAGGTGTGAATTCCAACTGGTGCTGCATACTCCAATATAGGCCTAACGTACACAGTGTACAAGGTTCTGAATGATTCCTTATTAAGATGTCGGAATTCTGTTCTTAAGTTTGCTACTAAGTCTCTGCGATAAACACACCTTAAGCCAGCAGTTAGTAGAGCCAACAAGACTAGACAACACACTTGACCTTATCTTCACAAATAATGAGGACCTAGTAAGAGACATAACAATATCAAAAACAACTAATTCCGATCACAATCTAATCAAAGTCCAGACTTCCATGCATAGGGGTCCTAATCAGCAAAATGCATGTACCTGTGAAGGTATCTTCACAAAATACAACTTCAACAACAAGAACATCAACTGGGACCAGGTAAACCATGTCTTAAATGAAACATGTTGGGAAGATGTCTTAAATGACAAGGATCCAAACCAGTGCCTTGAAAGGATCAACTTCCTGGCAGCTGAAGCATGTTCTAGGCATATTCCCCTAAGAAAGAAGACGAGCAGGAGTAAACTGGAGAGAGAAAGACGCTCCCTCTACAGAAGACGACGAAGAATCACTGAGCTCCTGAGGAACGCTAGAATATCTGATACACGAAAGAAGGCGCTGACCAGGGAAGTGGAAACTATCGAACTTAAGTTAGAGGACTCTTACAGGAACTAGGAGAGACAGGAGGAGCTTAAAGCTATTAGTGAAATTGAAAGAAATTCGAAATGTTTCTTTTCATATGCCAAAAACAAGGCAAATACTACATCTAATATCGGGCCCTTACTCAGACAGGATGGGACTTATACAGACGACAACAAGGAAATGAGTGAAATACTGAAATCCCAGTACGACTCTGTGTTTAGTGAGCCACTAATCAGTCTGAGGATCGACTACCCAAATGATTTCTTCATGAATGAGCCTCAAAACTCCATAAATGTATTCCAGTTTTCCGACATTACCCTAACTCCGATAGACTTTGAAAAAGCCATTGACAACATGCCCATGCACTGAACCCCGGGCCCAGACTCGTGGAACTCTGTGTTCATTAAGAACTGCAAGAAACCCCTCTCACGTACCCTAAGTACACTATGGAGGAGGAGCTTGGACATGGGTGAAATTCCACAATCACTTAAAACAACGGATATAACCCCACTCCATAAAGGTGGCAGCAAAGATTAGCTAAGAACTATAGACCAATAGCTCTGACGTCCCACATCATAAAAATCTTTGAAAGAGTGCTAAGAAGCAGGATTGCAAACTACCTGGATTCCCAAAAACTGCACAATCCAGGGCAACATGGGTTCAGGGCAGGTCGCTCCTGCCTCTCACAACTGGTCAACAGAGTTAAATCGGAGGCTGCCATAGTGAAGAGCTCTGTTCTACAAGGCACAGTACTCGCCCCCATCCTGTTCCTCATCCTCATATCAGACATAGACAGAGATGTAACCCACAGCACCTTATCATCCTTTGCAGATGATACTAGGATCTGCATGAGGCTATCATCTATTGAGGACACTGTTAACCTCCAAGAAGATATAAACAAAGTTTTACAGTGGGCAGCGGAAAACAATATGATGTTCAATGAGGAGAAATTCCAACTACTCCGTTATGGAAAACTGGAGGGAATAATAACTAGAACAGAGTATGCTACAAACTCTGGCCGTACAATAGAGCGGAAAAATAATGTAAGGGACCTGGGAGTAGTAATGTCTGAGGATCTCACTTTCAAGGATCACAACAGTGCCACGATCACAAGTGCAAAGAAAATTATAGGATGGATAATGAGAACGTTCAAAACGAGAGATGCCAAGTCAATGATGTTCCTTTTCAAATCACATGTTCTCTTTAGGCTGGAATACTGCTGTACATTAACATCTCCGTTCAAAGCAGGTGAAATTGCAGATCTAGAGAGTGTACAGAGAACCTTTACTGCACGTATAAGTTCTGTCAAGCACCTTAACTACTGGGAACGCTTGGAAGCACTTGACTTGTACTCGTTGGAACGCAGGAGAGAGAGAGATAATCTGCACTTGGAAAATCCTGGAAGGAATGGTCCCGAATTTGCACACAGAAATTACTCCCTACGAAAGTAAAAGACTGGGCAGGCGATGCAAAATACCCCCAATTAAAAGTAGGGGCGCCACTGGTACACTAAGAGAAAACACCATAAGTGTCCGGGGCCCAAGACTGTTCAACAGCCTCCCACCAAGCATAAGGGGAATTACCAATAAACCCCTGGCTGCCATCAAGAGAGAGCTGGACAGATACCTAAAGTCAGTGCCGGATCAGCCGGGCTGTGATTCGTACGTTGGACTGCGTGCGGCCAGCAGTAACAGCCTGGTTGATGAGGCCCTGATCCACCGGGATGCCTGGTCGTGGACCGGGCCGCGGGGGCGTTCATCCCCGGAATAACCTCCAGGTAGGCGCCCGTATGCTGTAGCAGTTATTTGGTTGATGTGCGCCTCAGGAGATATACCCAGTGTTATACTTACCCCAAGATCCTTTTCCTTGAGTGAGGCTTGTAGTCTCTAGCCCTCCCCTAGACTGTACTTCCTCTGCGGTTTTCTTTGCCCTTTCTCAATCTTCATGATTTTGCACTTGGTAGGGTTGAACTCCAGGAGTCAGTTTCTGGACCAGGCCTGCAGCCTGTCCAGATCCCTTTGTAGTTCCACCTGGTTGTCGTCCGATTGAACTCTTCTCATCAATTTCACATCATCTGCAAACAGGGACACTTCTGAGTCTATTCCTTCCGTCATGTTCACATATACTAGAAACTGCACCAGTAATAGGATTGACCCCTGTGGAACCTCGTTCGTCACAGACTCCCACTCTGACACCTCGTCTCGTACCGTGACTCGCTGATGTCTTCTCGACAAGTATTCCCTGATCCATTGCAGTGCCTTCCCTGTTATACCTGCCTGGTCCTCCAGCTTATGAACTAAATCTCTTGTATGAAACTGTGTCAAAAGCCTTCTTACAGTCCAAGAAAACGCAATCTACCTACCCCTCTCTCTCTTGTTTTACTGCTGTCACCCTGTCATAGAACTCCAGTAGGTTTGTGACACAGGATTTCCCTTCTCTGAAACCGTGCTGGTTGTCGTTGATAAGCTCATTCCTTTCTAGTTGCTTCACCACTCTTCTGATAATCTTCTCCATGACTTTGCGTACTATACATATCAGTGACACTGGTCTGTACTTTAGAGCTTCGTGTTTGTCTCTTTTTTTTGGAAATTGGGACTACATTTGCTGTCTTCCATACCTCAGGTAGTCGCCCTGTTTCAATAGATGTGTTGATTGTTGTTAGTGGCACATATAGCGCCTCTGCTCCCTCTCTCAAGACCCATGGAGAGATGTTATCCGGCCCCATTGCCTTTGAGGTATCTGGCTCGCAGCAGCCTCTTCACTTCCTCCTCGGTTGTATGCATTGTGTCCAACACTTGATGGTGTACCCCACCTCTCCGTCTTTCCGGAGTCCCTTCTGTCTCCTCTGTGAACACTTCTTGGAATCTCATGTTGAGCTCTTCACATACTTCTCGGTGGTTTCTTGTGATCTCCCCCCCTTCCTTCCTCAACCTGATTACCTTGTCCTTGACTGTTGTTTTCCTCCTGATGTGGCTGTAGTGTACAACAGCTTCGGGTCAAATTTGGCTTTCGCCAAATTGGGTCTCCCTTCTTACCTATGCATATTCATTTCTGGTTCTACGACTGCTCTCTTTATTCTCTTGGGTACTTTGCCTTTTATACTTCTTCCATTCTCTAGCACACTTGGTTTTGGCCTCTCTACACCTTTTGAGTGAAACAAGGGCTCATCCTGGCCTTCTCGTTATTTGTGTTACCTTGCTAGTGCTCTGTCCCACTGAACCTCGTGCAGAAAATTCCTCATGCCTTTGTAGTCCCCTCTCTTGTAGTTTGGCTTCGTTCGTCGTGCCCTTCCTGCTTCCCTCTCCACTTGTAACTCTACTATGTATTCGAGGCTCAGAACCACGTAGTCAGTGGCCCGGAAGGGTCTTTCATATGTGATGTCCTCAATATCTTCACTACTCAAGGTGAATACTAGGTCCAGTTTTGCTGGTTCATCCTCTCCTCTCTCTCTCTGGTAGTGTCCCTTACATATTGGTAGATGAAGTTTTCCAGTACCACCTGCATCATCTTGGCCCTCCACGTTTCTGGGTGTGTGTGTGAGAGAGAGTTACATTTCCTTCTGAGACATCCCACAAATAATACGAGTCTTTAGAGATAACTCTACTGAGAGATAATATTAGAGTGAGGAGTACCTGCGTGAAGGTGGTGCGGTGTCTCCTGCGTGCGGGCGTGGGACAGGTGGTGGGCGTGGGCGTGGGCGAGTGACCCGTGGTGCACATTCCGCCCTCACTCTTCACTTTCTTGAAGGCTCCGTCACTACCTAGAACGGGAAGAAAGTTACCCTGAGATGTGTGAAGGACGGGAGACTGAGGGAGGGTAGAGGGAGGAGGGATAAGATGATAGATGGAGGGGAGAGAATTGATGTGGAAGTTCTTTTAAGGTTTATATATATATATAATATATATATATATATATATATATATATATATATATATATATATATATATATATATATATATATATTTATATATATATATATATATAACACAATGGCCACTTTATTAGGTACACCTGGTCGTTAATGCAATTATCTAATCAGCCAATCACGTGGCAGCTCCTCAATGCCTAAAAACATGCAGACATAGTCAAGAGGTTCATTTGTTCAGACTAAACTTCAAAATGGGGAAGAAATGGGATCTAAATGACTTTAACCTTGCAGCGAGTGTTGGTGACAGACGAGATGGTTTGTGTATCTCAGAAACTGTTGATCTCCTGGGATTTTCACGCACAACAATCTCTACAGTTTACAGAGAATTGTGTGAAAAACATAAAGCATCCAGTGAGCGGCAGTCCTGTGGGCGAAAACGCCTTGTTAATGAGAGAGGTTAGAGGAAGATGGCCAGACTGGTTCAACATGAAAGGAAGTGACAGTAACTCAAGTAACCACGAGTTATCACAGTGGTACGCTGAAGAGTATCTCTGAACATGTAACACGTCCAACCTTGAAATGGACGGGCTACGGCAGCAGAAGACCACACGGGGTTCCAATCCTGTCAGCTAAGAACAGGATACTGAGGCTACAGTGGGCACAGGCTCACCAAAACTGGACCTCTGAACATTGGAAAAAGCTTCACCTGGTCTGACGAATCGTGATTTCTGCTGCGACATGCAGATGGTTGGGTCAGAATTTGGCGTAAACCTTTGGGATGTGGCAGAACGGGAGTTTACAGCATGAAAGTGCAGAAGACAAATCTGCAGTAACTGTGTGATGCTGTCATGTCAAATATATAATATATATAATATAAAAGACTGGAACAATTCACAAATTACCCAGAATAACGTATCTGAACATTTCATAAAACCCACAATGCCATGGCATGTACAATTCACAAAATATTCGTACCATAGCTTCGTTAACGTTCGTATCATAGCTTCGTTAACGTTCGTATCTTAGCTTCGTTAACGTTCGTATCATAGCTTCGTTAACGTTCGTATCATAGCTTCGTTAACGTTCGTATCATAGCTTCGTTAACGTTCGTATCATAGCTTCGTTAACGTTCGTATCTTAGCTTCGTTGTCGTGGTATGTTGTCGTATTCACTCGAATAATAAAACCCTCAATTTTTCACTGTTTTAAGCAATTTTTAGAGGAAGTGATCCAGAGTGTACACTGTGCATACTATTATGATTATGGTGTATGATACCAACTTGATGAGCGAACTATACACACAACACAGTGGAAGATAAGGGGAATCAGTCCCTCAGCCTAGAGACCGATGTTCAGTACCTTTGTTTTCCATTGTCTTCTGTGTATACTTCTGCAAGACTGAGGGACTGATTGCCTATTCTTTTATGTATAATTTTGCAAGACTGAGAGACTGATTACGCCATCTTTTATGTACAATTCTTCAAGACTGAGGGACTGATTGCCTCAACTTCCACTGGCGAAATGTCTTCAAATAAAGCTACCCAGGTGTTGCACGTGTCTGGTTCCTCACATAATATTGCGTATCATTGACAACATTTTTTTCCAAGGCCACACTTGACCTCCGTCAACAAAAAGAATAAACAAGAGGCACAACTTTGTCTGTGTCACTCGTGCCTCCCCTGAGGCACTAGAGAAAAAAATTCAATCAATACTCAATTTGTAATCAACTCACATTGATAATCCCGTAAATCCCCCGTGTTCAAAAGAGAGCAGCTAAGGGGATTACTAGGATTGAGTGAGCATGTTGAGGTGGTGAAGTGCTCTCCAGCTTCTCAAGTGGACTGTACCACTTGTGTGTTGGCTGATACACTTGGAGAATTTATAGCACTCGTGTGTGCTAAAGTGGTGTCACTTTTTTTTAAGTGTTTTTTCTTTCAAGGGTCTTTCCACAAGTGTTCACCGCGAGATAGTGTGGGACAAAGGAAACGTATTTGCCATCACTCAGTCAGTAGTTGTCTTGCCGGAAGTGCGCAGACGACACAGTTCTTGAGGGATGATGGAGTTAGTGTGTATGTATGTTAGTACATGTGGTTGTAGGAATCGGTTCACAGTTCCTGGCCCCGCCTGTGTGTGTGTGTGTGTGTGTGTGTGTGTATGTTTTACAAAGGTTACTTAAGAAAACGTTTATCTAAATCAAATTACGTAGCTCTTAGTTGAAGCAGTTTCAAACTTGTAGTCGCACTTAATGACGTGCCATTTAGAGAACTGAAAACTGGGGAAATATTTTCATCCTACAGTAAAGAATAACTAAAAATCTTTCATTTAGGACGCGTTGTCTGTAGACTTTTATCATAGTTTGTAAATATTGTATTGTTAATGTTAGTTATGCAAGGAGAAGTTCCTAGGTCTATTGTGTATCCGTATATTTTGTTTCACCTACAAGATGGCGATGGCGGTGCACAATATTCTGTCCACCGCCCTCCACAGGATGGGTATGGCGGTGCATAATATTCTGTCCACCGCCCTCCACAGGATGGGTATGGCGGTGCATAATATTGTCCACTGCCCTCCACAGGATGGGTATGGCGGGGGCTAATATTCGGTCCACTGCCTCCACAGGATGGGTATGGCGGTGCATAATATTCTGTCCACCGCCCTCCACAGGATGGGTATGGCGGTGCATAATATTCTGTCCACTGCCCTCCACAGGAGGGGTTTATGGCGGTGCATAATATTCTGTCCACTGCCCTCCACAGGATGGGTATGGCGGTGCATAATATTCGTCCACCGCCCTCCAAGGAGGGGTATGGCGGTGCATAATATTCGTCCACCGCCCTCCACAGGATGGGTATGGCGGTGCATAATATTCTGTCCACTGCCCTCCACAGGATGGGTATGGCGGTGCATAATATTCTGTCCACCGCCCTCCACAGGATGGGTATGGCGGTGCATAAATATTCTGTCACTGCCCTCCACGGATGGGTATGGCGGTGCATAATATTCTGTCCACCGCCTCCACAGGATGGGTATGGTGGTGCACAATATTCTGTCCACCGCCCTCCACAGGATGGGTATGGCGGGCATAATCTGTCCACCGCCCTCCACAGGATGGGTATGGCGGGGGCATAATATTCTGCCCACTGCCCTCCACAGGATGGGTATGGCGGTGCATAATATTCTGCCCACCGCCCTCCACAGGATGGGTATGGCGGTGCATAATCTGTCCACTGCCCTCCACAGGATGGGTATGGTGGTGCACAATATTCGGGTCCACCGCCCTCCACAGGATGGGTATGGCGGTGCATAATATTCTGTCCACTCCCCTCCACAGGATGGGTAGGGGTGGTGCACAATATTCTGTCCACCGCCCTCCACAGGATGGCTATGGCGGTGCATATATTCTGTCCACTCCCCTCCACAGGATGGGTATGGTGGGTGCAAAATATTCTGTCCACCCCCCTCACAGGATGGGTATGGTGGTGCACAATATTCTGTCCACCGCCCTCCACAGGATGGGTTATGGCGGTGCACAATATTCTGTCCCACCTCCCTCCACAGGATGGGTATGGCGGTGCATAATATTCTGTCCACCTCCCTCCACAGGATTGGGTTTTGGCGGTGCACAATATTCTGTCCACCTCCCTCCACAGGATGGGTATGGTGGTGCATATCTGCCCAAACCCCCCCACAGGATGGGTATGGCGGTACATAATATTCTGTCCACCGCCCTCCACAGGATGGGTATGGTGGTGCATAATATTCTGTCCACTGCCCTCCACAGGATGGGTATGGTGGTGCACAATATTCTGTCCACTGCCCTCCACAGGATGGGTATGGTGGTGCACAATATTCTGTCCACTGCCCTCCAAGGATGGGTATGGGGGGTGCACAATATTCTGTCCATTTGCCCTCCACAGGAGGGGTATGGTGGTGCACAATATTCTGTCCACTGCCCTCCACAGGATGGGTATGGTGGTGCACAATATTCTGTCCACTGCCCTCCAACAGGATGGGTATGGTGGTGCACAATATTCTGTCCCACGCCCTCCACAGGATGGGTTGGTGGTGCACAATATTCTGTCCACTGCCCTCCACAGGATGGGTATGGTGGTGCACAAAAATTCTGTCCACCGCCCCCCACAGGATGGGTATGGTGGTGCACAATATTCTGTCCACTGCCCTCCACAGGATGGGTATGGTGGTGCACAATATTCTGTCCACTGCCCTCCAGGAGGGGCTTGGCGGAGCACAATAAAACTAACTAGTGATGTTAATTGTTTTATTGGGTTTAAAGTTGTGGACCACACGAGGATCATTAAGGCTGTATGCCACATGTACCTTAATCCCTGAAATGTGGATGTACGCAGTGAAATACGGGTAAACAAAGTGAAATATGGAAATACACAGTGAAACAGGGAAATACACAGTGAAATACGGATATACACAGTGAAATACGGATATACAGATATACACGTATACTCTCGGTGTATATACCTTCAAAATATAAAACACAAAAGTGATAGAATACTGCAGACGTCCTATGGCCCATGCTAGGCAAGTTCAACTCACATCCACTCATTGTACTTGCCTAAACTATATTTAAAGCTTCCCAAAACTCTCGCCTTCAATGGCACTGCCTTAGAGTTTATCCCCCTCATCTACTGCCTGAGAGTTTATCCCCCTCATCTACTGCCTGAGAGTTTGTTCCACTCAACTACTGCTGAGAGTTTGTTCCACTCATCTACTGCCTGAGAGGTTTGTTCCATCATCTACTGCCTGAGAGTTTGTTCCACTCATCTACTGCCTGAGAGTTTGTCCCACTCATTACTGCCTGAGAGTTTGTCCCACTCATCTACTGCCTGAGAGTTTGTCCACTCATCTACTGCCTGAGAGTTTGTACCACTCATCTACTGCCTGAGGTTTGTCCCACATCTACTGCCTGAGAGTTTGTCACACTCATCTACTGCCTGAGAGTTTGTCCCACTCATCTACTGCCTGAGAGTTTGTTCCCACTCATCTACTGAGAAGTTTGTTCCCCCTCATCTACTGCCTGAGTTTTGTTCCCACTATCTTCTGCCTGAGAGTTTGTTCCCCCCCTCATCTACTGCCTGAGGTTTGTTCCACTCATCTACTGCCTGAGAGTTTGTTCCCAAAAATCTACTGCCTGAGAGTTTTGTTCCCACTCATCTTTGCCTGAGAGTTTGTTCCCCCTCATTTTACTGCCTGAAGATTGTTCCACTCATCTACTGTGAGAGTTTGTTCCACTCATCTACTGCCTGAGAGTTTGTTCCATTCATCTACTGCCTGAGAGTTTGTTCCACTCATCTTCTGCATGAGAGTTTGTCCCACTCATCTACTGCCTGAGAGTTTGTTCCACTCATCTACTGCCTGAGAGTTTGTCCCACTCATCTACTGCCTGAGAGTTTGTTCCACTCATCTACTGCCTGAGAGTTTGTTCCACTCATCTACTGCCTGAAAGTTTGTTCCCACTCATCTTACTGCATGAGAGTTTGTTCCACTCATCTACTGCCTGAGAGTTTGTTCCAAACATCTACTGCCTGAGAGTTTGTTCCATTCATCTACTGCCTGAGAGTTTGTCCCACTCATCTTTTGCCTGAGAGTTTGTCCCACTCATCTACTGCCTGAGAGATTGTTCCACTCATCTACTGCCTGAGAGTTTGTCCCACTCATCTTCTGCCTGAGAGTTTGTCCCACTCATCTACTGCCTGAGAGTTTGTTCC